CATTGTTGTTGTTATGGGCTGTCGAGTCGACCCGACTCATAGCGACCCCTCCTTGGGTTTCCGAGGCAGTATCACTATGGAAGTAGGATTGCCCAAACTTCCTTCCGAGGAGTGGCTGGTGGGTTTGAACCGCCAGCCGTCTGGTTAGAAGGCAAGTGTCTTAGCCACTATGCTACCAGAGCTCCCAAAAATATATCATATATGATATATTTTTATATATCTCTCTATACACATATATAGAGTGGGGGGGGGTGTTCAAAGTGGCCCGGGAAGGCAGGCACCAGAAGGAGAGGTGGCACAGTGGGTTTGAAGTGGCCCTGGAAGGGGTGAACCAGGAGGAGGAAGTGAGCAGAGAGGTTTGGAACAACTAAAAGAGATAAACTTGTCTGTCAGTTGATCATACTGCAGTGGCTTGTGTGTTGCTGTGAGGCTGGAGGCTATGCCACTGGTGTTTTAAAATTCCAGCAGGGTCACCTGTGGTAGACAGGTTTCAGCAGAGCTTCCAGACTAAGACAGACTTGGAAGAAGGAAGAGGCCATCCACTTCTCAAAGAATTGGCTGGTGAAAACCTTATGAATAGCAGTGAAAAACTGTCTGATGTATTACTGGAAAACTTTATGAATAGCCCTTAAACATTTTCTGATATAGTGCTGAAAGATGAGCCCCTCAGGTTGGAAGGCACTCAAAATATGACTGGGGAAGAGCTGCCTCCTCAGAGTAGAGCTGACCTTAATCATGTGGATAGAGTAAAGCTTTTGGGACCTCCATTTACTGATATGGAACAACTCAAGATGAGAAGAAAGAGTTGCAAACATCCATTAATAATCAGAACATGGGGACTCCCGGTAAGCTGGAGGAATAGGCAGAAAAGCGACACAGACCCTCTTCAACAAAGAAAAGAAAAACCAATTGACAGAGATACAGAAGATAATCCTGGAATCCTGAGCTTTGAAAGGAATTATACAGAAGTGGATTAGGCACCAACTAGTGGAAAAACCTGAATGTAAACAGTGAGTACAGAGATGGTCAGAGCAGTGGACTGTCAGCTACTCTGACAGGACCAACAGCCTGAATATTTCCAAGTGGTGTTGGGACCTGAGAATTGACCTAAAGATCAACCCTGGTCACC